TCGCTTTTACATCAGAAACACAGGAACACATGAAGGGAGGTCAGCATTTTGATGCCCTCGAGATAGGCTGAAAATGAGAAAAGTGGCAAGTAATTTTGTGGGCCCTTATCATGGAAATCAGATTTGACCAGGGAGTGGTTTATCCCAGATTAAGGCCAGCTCATTTCTCTTTCCTTTATTGCAGTCTTCTTTTTATACTTATGTTTTTCAAAATAGTGGTATTGGCAGAGGTGTCGTCTTAGGAATGATTTGTTTAGTTTTCAACACTGGTTTCTTGGTTAGAATATACAAGTATGGGCATTATCATTGCTGTTATGCAAAAATGGACACACACCTGTAATATCACACACTAGGACATTTGCATAGTTTCAGAACATTTGCTATTAGAATAGATTTTTTTTCCCCTTAGAAACTTAAAAAAGACAACAGAACACTAACCCTAAAGAGTGGCATTCCAGAAATTCCTCCTACTTATTTAAGGTATTTATTTAGCAGCCCAGATACAATACAAGAAATGGATAAAGCATAGTAAGAATTTTACACAAGAAGGAATAAACATAATACAGAAGAGTGGATGTTTCTAAAAGGGAAAGACTGAAGGACATGGCTCTAAGTAGGACTCCATGGGATGGCATCAGGAGAGCTACTAGTTCTGAGGTTGCCATGGAAACAAAGACAGAATCAGGAGCCCATTCCCATGGTCTCTAAATACCAAGTAGCTAGAATGTTGATGTCCACAGCCACCATCCAGGGACCAAGAAGATGGACAGAGAAGCCGCATAACTGCCTCCCTTTCTCTCTACACAAGGAAGCTGGAGCAGTGCTGTCTATTAGCAGCACGACGCTAGGCTCAGCCAAAATTGCAGATTCTCCAGTAGCCTCATTTTGAAGAAATGTAAAGCAAAACAGGAAAAATTAATTTTAAGGATGAATTTTATGCAACAAGCATAGAAGCTCTTCGGTATTTAATCCACATAAAAAGTATTGAATGAGTTTATTTTAATTTGCTTTTTTGGGTGGCAGGATGCTACGACTCCCAAGTCCACTATGTAGTTTATATGTACAGGAGATCTGCGTTCAGCCCAGCCACAGGGGAGTCAGGGCCAGAAAAGATGCTTTTCAGCTGCTGCAGAAAGTTTTGTTTAACCCATGGACCTCAACCAGAAGCAGACAAAGTGGGACAGGGAGATGGCCTTTATGTCACTTTTGCTCTCCAAACATCATGCCCAGGCACATGATTTGCAGCTCTGGTTTGCATCCAAACTCTTCTGTCAAGGGGATCTGGGACATGTGTGTTTTCATTGTCGTTCATTTTGTTTCGATATCCAAACTGCAGTTAGAAGAAAGGCGAAGCACAAGTCAAAGAGCCCAATCTCTAACTATAACATCTAGTCGTTCTTTTCTTTCTTTTTAAAATTTATTTTCTAAGAGTTACAGAGTGGAGTGGTGGTGGAGGGGAGAAGCAGAAGGAGAGGGAGGGAGAGAGAGAAGCAGAGGAAGAGGGAGGGAGAGAGAGATCTTCCATCTGCTGGTTTACTCCCCATCTGGCCGCCAACACCCAGCACTAGGCCAGACCAAAGCCCAGGTTCAGGAGCTTCAGCTAGGTCTTCTACATGGGTGGCAGGGCCATCTTCTTCTTCTTTCCCAGGCATATTGGCAGGGAGCTGGATCAGAAGTGGAGCAGCTGGGATACCTGGCACCCATACGGGAACACATAAGAGAACAATTGCTACTGGAATCTGTATATCTCATTTCTGTCATCTTACAAACACTTGAGTATATGTTGCTTTTTAAAATCCCAGCAGTTTATTTTCCTTCTTTGGAACACCTGTGCTTAACCAAGGCCCCATTGCGTACAGTTTGTTGTTGCAAGCCGAAACACAGGTGCACATTTCTGAAATTGTTTGCTGTAACACGATGTGTCTTAAAGCTGTCTGCAACATTTACTTCCTGTGGCTTCAGTCACAACTCCCAACTCACTAGAAGAGCTTTCCTCAACTGTATATTAGGATTCCTACACAGGAAGTATCAGTATGAAAAGTGAACCCTTGGGTGAACAAGCCCCCATCCTATAATGGATTACCAGAGTTCAGTACCCAGCTCCGGCTTTTGATTCCAGCTTCCTGCTAATGCAGACACAGGGAACTGATGGCTCAAGTAATTGGATTCTGTCACCTACATGAGGGATTTAAATTCAGTTCCTGGGTCCCAGATTTTGCTAGCCCCTGCCATTTTGGACATTTGAGGAGTGAACCAACTGTCTTTCTCTGTGTGTGTGTCTGTCAAATTAAAAGACATAACAAGAAAGTAAACCCTTTAAAAATGCTTTGATGCTTTATGCCATGCACCCCTTCTTGGACGTTGCGTCAGTCTGAATACATAATTCAACCTGCCTTTGCAGACAGCGTGGTTCATTCTAATGCAATGCAGAAATAAGCAATGGAGAAATAAGGACATGAGATGTTGGCTTCTGGGAAAGAATCAGAATTATGAGAATAAGGAGATTTCAGAGAGTATCTGTAACATGAATAATGAAACATTAGTGGAGTTTAGAGCACATTTGCCGAGAAAAATATTGTATTACAGTTAAAGGAGTTTACAGTCTCATCTGCCTAAAACCCAATCTATGAGACATTACACTGTGCATCTTTCACACCCACAGTCAGTCCTGCCATTTATCACCTCTGTTCAGTGCAAGAATGAGCAAGGAGCTAGAAAACCTGGATAATTTGTTCCATTTTGACACTTGGAGTTTAATAAAAACCCAGACTTGTCTTCAAAGAATAAATAGTAACATTATATTATCTAGCACTGTCGAGTACATCGTAGATAAGCTAGCTCATATATAGGGTAAATACTCATATTTGTGACACAATTTAAGGTGAACACATCCTGGTTTTTAAAAATATTGAGCTGATAATGCCAACTGAATATTCTAAGGTACTTAAGTAGAGCTGGTGCTTTCAGAGTAGGATCCATTAGTGCCTCTTCTTTATTCTATAAAATTCACCTCCAAGTTTTCATCATCTTGTTCATGTATGGTTTCTGCTGAGCAGCCTTTCTCCAAGACTATAGCTGAATTAGCAGTTTTAAGCAGGTGGGCTTGGAAAATCTGTTTATGACTTTTTTTAAAAATCTCTTTTACATTCCAGATTCACATTTCCAACCAATTGCTAATCTCTAGAGAATTTTCTGGTAGGTAAAAATATATAAAAGACGATCTACAGAAGTTAAATTGACACTTTGACATGCAATGACTTTGAACAGCCTTTGACTTGACTGTTGAGCAATGTTTATTTTCATATACTATTTGTTGAACTCTGTACTTAGTGTAAGGTTAATATTATGTGTATAAAGTTAATTGAAAATAGATCTTAGTAAAAAATAAGAGTGGGAATAGGAGAGGGAGGAGGAAAAAGGGTGGAAGTACAGGTGGGAGAGAGGTTGAGAGGATGGGCAAAATCAGTATATCCCAAAATGTGTATTTATAAAATGCATGAAGTTTGTATGCCTTAAATAAAAGGTATCTGGGAAAAATAAATAAATAAATAAACTATAACAAAGCATACCTTATGAAATCTTCTCTCTGATCACTGCTTTTTATGTTGCTGTCACAAAATAGTCTTAATGGCCTGCCAAGGTTAAACTCCTGAATCACCTTTGCTTTCTTTTGCTCTTCCTCTTTCTTTATGTTAAACTATCAACTTTTTTTACAGGCAGAGTGGACAGTGAGAGAGAGACACAGAGAGAAAGGTCTTCCTTTTTTCCGTTGGTTCTCTAGTAAATTATTTTTTCATACTTCAGGGAAATCCATTCTTTTGCTTCAGGACAAATACCATCTTAATTCACTTTTTTGTGTTAATTTTGTACATGTGCTAAAATTTGTATTAGCATACATCAAAAGGAAAATAAATCATATCAGATAGTACTGAGCCTTATACATACTGTGTGTGTATATATATGTGTGTGTGTGTATATATATGTGTGTGTGTGTATATATATATGTATGTGTATATATATGTGTGTATATATATATATCCAAGATGAAGTTTAAATTTATAAAGTAGGCATAGTATCAGATTAGGAAGAATAACAATGAGATAAAATAATTATAAAGCATATTTTAGGAAATTTATTTAAAATTATGAGTTTTAATTTCTGGGATATTCTGTTTAGGATTTTCAGACTCTTATTGATTGTGAGTAGCTGAAACCACAGAACGGGGTGCTACTGTGCAGATTTGGGTGAGCTCCATTATAATCAGGCTTCAGAGCACCTCCCCAGAAACTATCTCATGTTACCCCTTTGCAGTCACACCCTCCCCTCCAGATCTAAACCCTGAGCACCACTGATCTGTTCTCTGTCCCTATGGCCTTGTTGTCTTTAGAATGCCATATAAATGGAATTGTATGAGACTTGCTCCTTTAATTCAATGTCTTTGAGACTCGTCCAAGTCATTACATGTATCAAAGATTAGCACTGAATAGTATTTTATTGTATGGATGTACTGTGATATGCTTTGTTGTTTTCCAAAAATACACTAATATTTTTCCTTTGCTACGTAAGGTGAAATAAATGTCTTCCACCTCAGGCCAGATTCCTGCTACTCTCTGATTTGTAAAATTTAGTTTGGGAACATTGTGTTCATCTCTGTGATCGTATTCAATATTTTCTTTGTGTTTTTGCTTTGTTCATGAAATTTCTTCCAGTTTAAAATAACTTACCTCTAAATCTCCACTTATTTAAACCATTCCTTAAGACCATATTCAAGTAAACATTTTATTTAAACGATTTATTTACTTGAAAGAGTTACAGAGAGAGCTGGAAAGACATTGGGAAAGAGAGACATCTTCCTTACGCTGGTTTACTCCCCAGATGGCCCAACAGCCAGGGTTGAGCCAGACTGAAGCCAGGAGCTAGGAGCCAGGAGCGTCATCTGAGTCTCCCGTGTGGGTGGCAGGGGCCCAAACATTTATGCTATCTTCCTCTGTTTTTCCCAGACCATTAACCTGAAGCTGGATATGCAGTGGATCAGCCAGGACACCAATCTATGCCCATATGGGATGCCAGCATTGCGGGCAGAGGCTTCACACGCACAGGCCACAATTCGAGACCCACATGTAAACTCTTTTAAATAATCTTTCTGGATAAAATTTGTTTCTCTAGAGGCTTTGTATTACATCTTGATTTAATGGCATATATATTATATTAATTTATAGCTATTTGTCATATAAATTGAGCATGGATGCAGTAGATCAACCATAATAGTAAAATGGTGTCTGAAAACTAACTTTGGAAATCAGAATTTTAAGTGGACCATTTGGTATGCAAAAAATCCCATTAGTGAGAGTTTTCTAATGGTTTTCACTACTGAAAGAAATATAACTGCAGAGTATGTGGTTTAGACTTCTACAGACATAATTCCTCGTGTATATTTTTAAAGGAATTCTACCTGAAGTCCCATTCAACTATCCTCCAATGGACTAAGCCGTTTGAATGAGATGGATGCCATTTTTGCTCTGAGGATCAGGCAGACATCACCACTTGGGGACATGAATGACTCTAACTCATAAAGCTTGGGCCAATTACATTTTTGATTCATGAATCTACCTAGAATTTTTAAGTTTTCCTTGCTGTGTTAGTTTTCTAGCATTGGAATAACAAAATATCATGGACTAGGCAGCTTAAACAGCAGAAATAACTTTTTCTTACAGTTCTAGAGGTTATAAGTCCAATAGCAACGTCTGGGCAGGATTCGCTTTTTCTGAGGTCCCTCGTCCTTGTATGAGAGTACTGGGAAGTATCCCTATTCTCCTAAATCTCTATATATGAAATGTGTTCACTTTCTATAAATAAGAAAATGGAAAAATAAGTGCATGAAAAAAATGAAATTGAAAGGGAATATCTGCTTTCTGTGTCCTCACATGGCTTCCCTTCTGTGCATAACCCTCCCTGGATTCTCTCTCAGTGTCCAAATTTGCTTTTTGTATAAGGACTCCAGCTGGATTGAATTAGAGCTCATCCTAAAAGCCTCATTTTCACTGAATCCCTCTTTTAGAGCCTCATCTTCAAATCCACTCACATTCTGAGCTACTACGACTTAGAGTTTCAACATCTGAATTTTGAGGAATCAAAACTTAGCCCATAAAACTTGATCACTAACCGACTTCCTGATGATCTTTCTTCCTACAAAACTTGCTTGTGAGGAGAAATAAATTGGTTAGGTTCACTCCTTAAAGAAAGTCCTACAGATATATTTCTCAAGACAAATTAATAAATTGACCTTTTAGAAAGTCTCTTTTGAGCTTTGGTTATATAAATCAGCATCTACTTGCCAATCAACCCTGAGGCATCAATAAAATAAAATTTTTGAAATATTAAGGCAGATGGTAGACTTAGAAGTATGGTACATTCTGGAAGATAAATGGTTTTTATGGGCCTCTGTTTTGGAATGCAGCCCACCATCTCCAGCTCTACTCCTTTGAATTTTCCCATGCTGTTTAACTTTCCATTTGATATTTCTACAGTCTTAGTCTTTTTCCATACATAACCTTGAGCAAGTTACCTTGTTTCAAATATATCAGATAAAAATATTTTTCTCATTGTAGAAGTTTTTAACTAGGAACTATAAAATAATAGATATTATTAAAGATGATCTAACTAAAAATGATCTGACTTTTTTTCATAATTGATATAAAAGTTAATGGTATAACTTAAAATTTACAACATTTTTAATTTGTTTAAATAGGATACTTCTCGGGGGGGAAGCCATTGTAATCCATAAGCTGTACTTTGGAAATTTATATTCATTAAATAAAAGTTAAAAAAAAATTAGGCACTTACCTAAGCATCCTAGATAATTAATATTCTAAAGGTTGTATAATACAAAAAAGCAATAAAGTGATGATTATGAAAAAAAAATAGGATACTTCTCCTTATCTCCTTAGCTTTTTTTTTTTTTCAGGGTGGGGACTACTAAGTAGCCACATCATTGAATTACACTAAAATACTTTTATTTACATTATTATGATGCAAATTATTGATAATAGATTATGATTTTTTTGTTTGTACAATGTATCAGGTATAGGATATGAATAGTATATGTTTTATTAAACAGCAATGAGGATTTGGGAAAGATTGGCTGTTTATGACTTTGACTTCAATGATATTAATCTGTAAATACAGAGAGCAAAGGTTTTGTATGAATTCCATTTCCTTTGATCCATAGTGTAACATAGAAAATGACTCGTTTTATTTGTGGAGACTAAAGAACCCTGTATCTGCTGTTTCAAGAAGATCGGAAAAGCTGGTTGTGTATGTCCCAGTCTGAACTGGGAAGTCTGGGAAGGCTGAAAAACCAGTGATGCTGATGTCCAGGCCAGGGGAAGACGAGTGTCCCAGCACCAGCAGAGGGAGCAAATTCACTCTTGTTCCACCTTCTTTTTCTTTTTGGGCCCTTAGTAGATTGGGTGGCATACACCCACAATGGTGAGAATGATCTTTATTCAGTCTACTTATCCAAATGCTAATCTCATTCACAAACACACTCACAGAAGAACCCTGAAATAATGTTTAATACTGTCAATCATCACACAAAGTACATAAGCAAGAAATGAGGAAACAAGGATCAACATTTACCATTGGTCAGATCCTCAAAAAATAACCCTAGCACATACTTATTTCAGTGTAATGATGAGATTTGCGATCCATGGGATGCAAGACACCAAGACGCTAACACATGAATTCTAGAATAGCTTTTTTGTGGACAAGGCAGGTTACCCTGTAGATCTCTCTTGTTTTAGGAGGAAAGCAATTGAAACAGAGTTGAGTTTATAACAAATACTTCACTAATTCTTCTGAATTCCCTCTTAGGGAGCTTCAAAGGCTAGGAAGCACACAGAAAATTTGTTTTGAGGTGGGCATTGTGGGTAGTGAGCTAAGTGAGCATTGGATTCTTTGGGAGGTTCTGATAGCTCCTCTCATATGCAAGTGAATTGGGAGGTGATTGGGGTGGGCACAGCAGATGCATGGCTGTTACTGCACTGGTGGCTGAGACACGAGGATCATGCATCAGAAAATACATACAGTGGTGTGAGGAAAATATCTCCTAATGCATAAATGGCTAAGAAATGTCTTGGCAACATCCTTTTTGCTCCCTGTATCTGAAACTCAGGCAAATTTAAAGCAGACTTTCTTATCTACTGATCAGTAAAGCAATAAAATTTTCATCTGTCCTCAGACTTTCTCTTTGGTGTTTGTTAGGTTGAAGCTTGATGTAGAGCTAAGACTTTCGTTAATATTAGGCCTCTACTGAATTCTACTCATGATCCTAATATATACATGAGACAAACGGCAGCCACTTGTAATCAGGATATGAAGGAACCACAAAAGCTTTTATCTTTACATTATTTATATATTCCTATGTTGTCGCACTTGTTAATAAAGATCCTTTAACATAGAGCCCTCTTTAAATGTGCAATGTCTGTTTATGCATAAAATAGGAAAGCATAGATTTTAAACAAGTAATTTAAATATTAGAATTTTGTAGCATAATCCCAGACTTGATTTGGACTGTAAAACAAATGGATGCAATAGCTTTAAAAGCTGGTTTGAAATAATTTTGTTCTTATTAAGAAGCTTGGCTACTGATCCCAATATTCATGAAGTTCTCCGGAGAAGGATCCAGGTTGGTAGCTTACGGATGCTGATGCCACATTTTAAAATTCTGCGATGGTTATGACAAGCTGCTTTTGCTGACGCCCCTTTCCTCTCCTGGCTTGCTAACCTTCTCAGTGGAGAGGAGGACACAACTGCCTAGGTTGATTCCAGCCAGACTGAACTCAGACATTTTGCATTTTTCCTGTGTTCCCTTCTATCCTGTTATCTCTTGGACATTACTCTTATTAGATATGATGATAAACTAAAGATAATATATGTAGCTCCTTCTCAAAGAAAGGCTAGGGACTCATAACCCCCAATTTAATACAAGAATAATTCTTCCTAAACATAGTGAGTTTTATCATTTTTTTCCTAAGATTGGGAAGCATACAGTTAATATTCTATGATCCAGCTTTTATCCAGATAGGAACTTTACTTAGAGAACAACGAAGCAAGAGGAATCTGCTGTCACTCTAAATTCTCACATCTCCTTGGGATCACTTGGAAAATCTCCTTTCCTAAATTGCATTCCGTGTGGCCCAGAACCTCCTCCAGGTATCCCAGGCTGCAGGACACTAATGCCTTCCTGACTTAGTAAAATTGTAGGACAGTTCAAGATACAGAAAATATCAGAGGGCTTCAGAAAGTTCATGGAGAAATAAAATTAAAAGTTATTTTTATTGTAAGGCAAAATTTTTTCTGTGTTCATGCATAATTTTCCATAATATTCATTTTCCAGGAAATTTATGAAGGTACCTTGTATGCATGGATTTAAATTTTTTTTCAAAGGTTTATTTATTTATTTGAAGTGAAGAGTAACAGAGAGAGGGGTGGAAAGAGAGAGAACAAGAGAGATCTTTCTTCTGCCAGTCCATTTCATTTCCCAAATGTTTGCAACAGCCAGGGCTCGGCCAGGCCCAAACCATGATCTAGGATCTCCATCCTGGCTTCCCACATCTTGAGGCAGAGCCCCAAGAACGTGGACCATGTTCTGGTTCCCTAACCAGGCACGATAGCAGGAAGCTGGATCAGAAGGGGAGCAGCTGACTCAAGGACTGGTGTTGGGAGCAGTGGCTTAAATCACTGTACCCCCACCCCTCTCATTTATTTTTGTACCAAAAGATCAATGTATCATTTAATTCTGTTGTTCATGAACTTTTTGACATACTCTGGCAATTCAACTAAATTTTGTTTAAAACACCTTCATACCTTTGTAGATGGCATTTTTTAAAGTTTCCATTCAAGAGATGTGCAGAAACAAAGCAAAGGACTACTTTGTTCTTTTGTGTCTACACATGCGTGTTACCCCAGGACTTCTCAGTTACGGCTGTGGCCTCCCAGTTTATTCTGGCCAGGCCACCTGGCAGCCTCAACGCCACCCTATTACTCCCTTTGATCTAAAGGGCTGTGTCCCCCACAGGGCGTCCTCTCCCACCCCATTGCTCAGGAAAGCAGAAAGAAA